GCATTTCTTGGGTCAGCAGCGTGGGTAAGCCAGTCTTTCTTCAGGGACTCTGGCAGCTTGCTCTCGATGGATTTTATTACTAGTGGGTTTTTTATGGCATCTGCATTGCTCAGTTCATTTAAATCATAGAGGGCCTTTTCCACTGCTTGGATGAGCTCTACGATTCTTCTTGGGTGGTTACCACGAACAGGTGGGATAGCTTGTAGCTCCTCGACAATCTCAATAGCGATGGTGGCTTGGTTTCCGTAGCGGTTCTCTAGGACTCTGAAGATCTCGTCTGCTGAGGTGTAAGTAGAGAGCCGTAGATCCTTGGCCACTCTTTCGTCGAGGCTATCAAGTAGTTGAAATTTCTTCACCTCTTTGGATCCGGTTGGTTCACCTTGCTTCTGTAGAGCCTCCCATTCTTTCCTCCATCTGTAATACTCACGCTGGCTGCCGGTAAACTTTGGTAAAGCTGTGGCTTTTAGCTTTATGGCTGCAACAGGGGCTGCGCTGTGGGCTGTGACAGGTACTCTGTTGCTGTCCTCTTTAATACTTGCTGCTCCAATCAGGGCGGCCTTCCTCGACACCAGCTTGGGAAGGAGGGTTTCGAGCTCCGTTAGCCGACGATTGAAATCTTGCTTCTCGGCTCGTGGAGCCCAGCGGTTCCAGGTCTGGTGCGCTTCTTTGGCTTTGTGCACCAGGCTCTCTAAATGGCGGAGCATAAAGTCATATGCCTCCAGGGGTGTGTCAGGCTGAGTGGAGGAGACGTTCTCGCACTCTGCCTCTGCAGCTTTTAGAGCAAGGGTCAGTTCTCTTTCACCACATGAGGCCCATAATGTCTCCTGGACAAGGTGCTTTACCTCTTTTAACTTCTGCTCACACTCTTTCTCCGTCTTCTCTATGTCAGCTCTCTGTTGGTCGCTTAACTCAGGTGCGCCCTCTGCTTCGGTTCCTTTGCCCTGTGCAATGTAAGCAGCCTCAAGCTCCTCATTTGCATCCATCACTTTAGCGCCCTCTGCTGTGAGTCTTTTGAAGTTATCTTGCAGCTCCTCCACAGACATCTCCATGTGGGTCCTCGTATATGGTTGGTGAGTCGGGAAAAAAGTCTCTTTACTGTAGTTCGCTCTGTTTTCAGCTCTTCGAGTGACTTGGACTCGGCCATGTTGCCTTTTTTGGCTGTTGGACTGACAGGTGAACGGCAGGTAGTTGATTTCCTCCAGGCCCCCAGGTGGAGTCTTCTCCCTCTTTGTGGTGGGCTCTTGTGGAGTCTTCACTTGTCACGGCCGGTTTCCTACCGTCAGGCCGGTTTTTCACTGTCAAGTGTTTCTTTTAACTGCGAGGTGTCCACACTTGACAAGGACCAGACTTCGGATTTCACTCAGAATAATTTATTTGAATAATTGAACAGGAGTTGAACAGTATAGGTGAAAAACCTTTAAACACAGAAATAAAAAGCATTTTGAACAAACAGGTATTTCCACAGTAAACACAAGTCAAGGTAAATATTTCCAAAACGGTAAGTATATTTAAATTCAATATTATTCTTCACATTTCACCAAACTAATTATGCATTTTAATTAATCTTTAACAAAACAATTTTGGCTTACTATTTAAGCATTCTTTTACACAAATTAGGTAGAAAACCCACACATTTTAACCATATATATCCATGCATTTGAACATAGTTTCTCCCTCTCTTCAACCATGCAGCGACAACTTTAACACACCCATATTAACACCTAAACAGAAAAGATTTAAACAACATTCAAGTGAGCTTACCGATAGCCCGTCAAATCAAAAGTCTCATTCCCCGCAGTGGATGTGTGCTGCTCATTCCGTCATGTCAGTCCCTTTCCACCAGCCAAATGACTGCGTTATATGCTCCCGCTGATTGAAGTGTGTGCGAGCTTCTGATTGCTCAATCTAATTCACCTGGTCGAGGGTGCGCCAGGGCGCGCACGCACGGTCACACGCGGCTGCCGATGCAGAGCGGGGCGGCACGCAGGTGAGACGGCATGCAGGAGGAGGCGGGCACACGGGAGACAGGCGCACCTCTGCCAGATCAGCGCGACAATATTTGAGATGAATAGGTCTTTTGTGTACATAGAGAAAGTCTTAGATCTTTGAGTTCAGCTAATGATGAATATTTTGGTACCTTGATTTCCCTCTTTTGTTATACAATGTTCAGTCTCTAAACCAATTATTTAGCCAATTTTAAATTAGTTTTAAAACTACTTGGTAAGAAGCAAAACATTGCAAACAAAAACAAACTTTTCATTCCAGGATTTTCAAGGGCACCCCCCTTGATAGCGGAAGACTAGAAACACCATTTACATAATCAGTGAACATTTCAAATTAGCTATATACACTTATCCATACTTTAGATTTGATATTGGCAGTACTTAGCTATATGTCACTTTTCATACATACAAGTACAGTACAGTACATAGACTCCATATCTATATGTAACTCCACTAAGAATGATCCTTCCTGGTAACCTGCTTACATTTTTGGCATTGGACCATAGTAATATTTTGTATTTTATGTTTGCACTATATATTTATACTTTCTTACTTTGTATTGCAACTGTTGCACAACAATTTCCCGCAGGAGTTCTATCTTATCATAGCTATGTATTTCTTGGAACCTACACATAAATTTCACAAAATTATAGCTGATCGCTGACTGTCACTTCACTGTGGTCAAGACACAACGAGTTTAATGGACAAGTTTTCTCTAATAATGTGGCTGTTCATGGAAAAAATGTAATTGTGCCTATTAGAGACAGAGAGACGGAGAGATTGTGTTGCTTTGGCTAGTGCCAGCAAGACCTCTGTAATCATCCACCTCATGTTTCTAGCAAAGCAACCTTAAAAACCTTCTCAGAGTAGAAAATAGCCCCAACTGGCCAAAAATCCCCAGACTGACATATATTTGAATCTGTTTTTAGGCTGATGAGCACAAGTACTTCATAAACATTTTTAACCAAAGCAATAATCCTGATCTCTACAAACTGAAGTGGTCAATGTCACGTAATGGTAGTTTAGATGTCGATGGCTCATTCTGAGTTATGCATTAAGAGGATCTGCAGCAATGTGCAGCATGAACAAAATATGGTGTTATTAATGAAACCATGTCAACCTGTTCTGGGAAAACCTCTCAATAAAATGATGAATGTGAAAATGAGCATAATATGACCACTTTAAACCTGAAATCCAAACTTTCTGCACACTGTCGCCCTCTACAGCAGTGAGAGGAAACTGAAATGATGTTCAAACTACAGAGTTACTGTGGAAGCTGGCTGTTCAATCATCCACTGCAACACCTTTAAAATTATACAACTAGCAAAGTATAATAGAGCGGGGCTTCTGTTTAATTTCAATCATTTTAAATATATGACTGGATGCTGTGAAATTCTTAGCTTCGAGTTTGATGTGTCTGTTTTGGAAAGACTTTATTGGCTTTTGTACCAACGACAGGCATGACGTGAAAGGGCAATCAGTATTTCTTAAAAGCAATGTATTACATAAGTTAAAAAAAGTTAAAATAACATTTTGCATACCAAGATAAATCTTGAGCGTATGCAATATGCAGTGGGGAGAACAAGTATTTGATACACTGCTGATTTTGCAGGTTTTCCTACTTACAAAGCATGTAGAGGTCTGTAATTTTTATCATGGGTACACTTCAACTGTGAGAGACGGAATTTATAACAAAAATCCAGAAAATCACATTGTATGATTTTAAAATTTTATTTTAAAAATAATTTTACATGTAATTGCATGACGGAAGTATTTGATACATCAGACAAGCAGAACTTTGGTACAGAAACCTTTGTTTGCAATTACAGAGATCATACGTTTCCTGTAGTTCTTGACCAGGTTTGCACACACTGCAGCAGGGATTTTGGCCCACTCCTCCATACAGACCTTCTCCAGAGCCTTCAGTTTTGGGGCTGTCGCTGGGCAATACGGACTTTCAGCTCCCTCCAAAGATTTTCTATTGGGTTCAGGTCTGGAGACTGGCTAGGCCACTCCTTAGTTGCCCTGGCTGTGTGTTTCGGGTCGTTGTCATGCTGGAAGACCCAGCCACGACCCATCCTTCAATGCTCTTACTGAGGGAAGGAGGTTGTTGGCAAAGATCTCACGATACATGGCCCCATCCATCCTCCCCTCAATACGGCGCAGTCGTCCTGTCCCCTTCACAGAAAAGCATCCCCAAAGAATGACGTTTCCACCTCTATGCTTCACAGTTGGGATGGTGTTCTTGGGGTTGTACTCATCCTTCTTCTTTCTCCAAACACAGCGAGTGGAGTTAAGACCATAAAGCTCTATTTTTGTCTCAGACCACATGACCTTCTCCCATTCCTCCTCTGGATCATCCAGATGGTCATTGGCAAACTTCAGACAGGCCTGGACATGCGCTGGCTTGAGCAGGGAGACCTTGCATGCGCTGCAGGATCATAATCCATGATGGAGTAGTGTGTTACTAATGGTTTTCTTTGAGACTGTGGTCCCAGCTCTCTTCAGGTCATTGACCAGGTCCTGCCGTGTAGTTCTGGGCTGATCCCTCACCTTCCTCACGATCATTGATGCCCCACGAGGTGAGATCTTGCATGGAGCCCCAGACCGAGGGAGATTGACCATCATCTTGAACTTCTTCCATTTTCTAATAATTTCACCAACAGTTGTTGCCTTCTCATCAAGCTGCTTGCCTATTGTCCTGTAGCCCATCCCAGCCTTGCGCAGGTCTACAATTTAACCCTGATGTCCTTATACAGCTCTTTGGTCTTGGCCATTGTGGAGAGGTTTGATTCTGTTTGAGTGTGTGGACAGGTGTCTTTTATACAGGTAACGAGTTCAAACAGATGCAGTTAATACAGGTAATGAGTGAAGAACAGGAGGGCTTCTTAAAGAAGAACTAACAGGTCTGTCAGAGCCGGAATTCTTACTGGTTGGTAGGTGATCAAATGCTGCAATAAAATGCAAATTAATTATTTAAAAATCATACAATGTGCTTTTCTGGATTTTTGTTTTAGATACCGTATCTCACAGTTGAAGTGTACCCATGATAAAAATTACAGACCTCTACATGCTTTGTAAGTAGGAAAACCTGCAAAATCAGCAGTGTATCAAATACTTGTTATTCCCACTGTAACTGCAATTCAACTTAAACCTTCTGCTACATGCTGCTGCTGAATGCCTGCTGCTGCTAATGAAAACTAAAACTAAAAATGTTCGGAGTTGAAGGTAAATGTATCCACTTTCCCCACAGCCCCTCGTTCTCACTGGAATACTTCTCTCTGTTTCCATCCAGGTGAGTCCCCTCTGCTGTGACTGCATCAGTAGAAAGTCACATACAGTTTGCTGAAGCGCTGATATAAACATGATCAGATTCCAGCTGATGGGAGAGAGAAAAAAGATGAGTCAAAGTAAATTTTTATATTAAAATTTATGTAGAAGCTGACAAAATACATCCCTTTGGTAGAGAAAGTTCTGTCACTGTGGCCCAACAGCTTTCTCACCTCTATAGTCTCCATGCATTCATTTGTTTCAGCGGTGGAGCTCAGAGTTGTCTTCTTCCTGAATTGATAAAAAAATAAAGAAACAAATAAATCAGATAAATGAAATAGATAACTCAAACTATGAAAGAAAATAATCAAAATTATGGATCTGATTCTTTATTATAATTCACCTCATCAACAGACAAAACAGAAGTAGAGGAATCAGCGTCACAACCACCAGAGTCAACCTGATGATGTTTATTATCATTGTTGATTTGTCTAGAAATGGAGATAGACAGTTATAAACTGTGCTGGATCTTACCAGGTCTGATTCATGAATGAATTTGATAGGTGATACTGTCTCTTGATCTGTGTCATGGAGAAACTTACCTGCCACAACAGTCAGATGTAAGGTGGAGTTATGACGTCCTCTTCTGTTCTGGGCTTCACAGTAATAATTCCCACTGTGTTCAGCTCTGAAGTCAGTGATGGTGAAGTTCTGTCCTGATGCTTTTGGTGAGTCTTCATTCTCCTTGTACCAGGTATAATTAGCTGCTGGGTTAGCATCACTGCTGCAGGTCAGAGTCACTGAACTGCCCTCCACTATCTCAGCAGAGGGACTCACTGACACAGAGGGAAGCTTTGGAGCATCTGGGGACAAAAGAGAGACAACTTGTCAATATTTGTTTACAGGCCTTTTTTTAGGCAATTTAGGACTTTTTCCCCAGGTCAGTTTCAACTTCCTCTTTCTTAGCAAATGTCTCCTTTGCTCTTGCTCATATTGACTATGAATGAAATGTAATCTACACTCAGTAAAGCAGTAGTCCTACATTTTTGGGGAATTGGGATTTTTTAGGTCTCAGTAATATGAAAAGTATGGTCTACATCTGCTCTACATAAAAAATGCAATGAGATGACTTTTCCTATGAATTGGGCGTTCTATAAATAAAACTGAAACTGAATACGTTTGAAATAACAAACTTGGTTTTTAACATTTACTGTACTTTGATGAAATAATGAACCCTATATTTGCCTTAAAGGAAATTGACTTTTAATTAATTTTTATCAATGTACTGTATATTTATTGTTATGTTGTAACTATTGTTATTTCATCTTGTTTTTTCTGTGTACTATGGACCTTCCATTTTGAGTCCTGAATAAAGTAATTATTATTATTATTATATTATTATTATTATTATTATATTGATGTCAAAATGTATCTCTACAATAACTAATCCAAAATGATATAGGCAAGTGGTGAAAAGTAGTGTGGACTATCAGCTAGCTAACATCAGATGGCTCATTTTTGGTAAAAGAAATCTTAATTACGAAACTCAGAAGGTAGGAACGTTAAGTGTATTAAAGAAGCATCAACCTTCAGTGTCTCCATTAGCGTTTGAAGCCCTGGACTGGAGCAGCTGCCGTTAGGAGTGATGTGGGCAGAAATATTTTCAAGTTTTGGCAAGTGCAAGTTCATTTCAACTTACATGGCTTTACTTAGAGGGGAGCTGTGTGCAATGTCCATTTGGTTGGCAAAGCACTAGTGACATCACATCTTTCAACACAGTGTCAGGCATGTTGAGAAACAGGTGATTGACCTCCTGTGGTTTTCTACACACAACTGGTAAGATATTAAACTCACGTTTTTCAAGCCTTACTGTGAAATGATTTGAAGAACTGTATAGTGGCCACCTTCAGGATGAATCCTAAATCAAATCAGTCAAGCAATAATCCAAAGAATAAAATATAATCATAATAAAATAAAAATATGTCCTCTAAAGAATCACATTGTGTCGAGGAGATTATTATAGGGAGTTTTCCATTATTATGTTTCTATACAATTTCAGAAAGACCGTTTGTTACACACAGACCTGAAATCTAAATTCAGTTTAAAAGAGGATGAGAAGTACTGATGATTGGATGTAACTGAGGCCTGCTCCAACTCCACCTGCTGTTTCTGAGTTCCTCCTGCTAATAAAGTGTTCACTCTCTCTTCCACGTTGACAGCACTGAGTCCAGATTGCACTACTACTAAGATTTTCTCCTTCAAAGATATATTTAATAAGCTGCTGGGTTAGCATCACTGCTGCAGGTCAGAGTCACTGAACTGCCCTCCACTATCTCAGCAGAGGGACTCACTGACACAGAGGGAAGCTTTGGAGCATCTGGGGAAGGTATAAACATGAATTACTGAAATGCTAGACTATGTTATAGACGATTGACTATTTTATTAAACTTCTCTGTTTGTGTCTTTTTTGATTCTCTAGTATTTGACAAAGTGGATGTCCATGGTGCTGATTCTGGATCTGTCCCAGGTCTGAATCCTGTTTGTTGAAACTGACAGCCAATAACAAGCCTTAATCATTTGGTATTTTCAAAAACACAATTGTCAGTGGTCGTAGCAGCACTTATGTGTTTCAGATTTACCACTACTAAAGACCGTCTGTCTGTCGAGTCTGTCGGCAACAAATCTTCAGAGACTGGTAACTCCATTTTAAAGCTTTACTATGAAAAAATTTAAAGTTAAACTCACACACTGAAGGAGAGGGGAAATCCTCATGTCCTTTTACAGCACAGGAGATGATGTCTCTGGGATAAAACTGATCTTTATAAGAAGATGTCTCAACGCTTTCCATTTTCTGTCCATTCTTGAACCAGACGTAGGAAGGACGATCAGGTAGACGACAGCTGCTGTAACAAAGCAGCTCTGCCTCAGTATAATTCTGGTAGACTGTTGATCTGATCACCTGAACCTGGAGATCTGGATCTGTGAAGAAGAAACAGAAATATTTGTTCTTTATGTGGAACTGAATCACACACAGACAGACACAGAGATATAAACAATAGAACATTATGACAATCATGTAATGAGTTAATCACACATACAATTATTTCCCATCAGGATCACTATTCAGCACATTCACGTGTCATCAGATAGTTTAAATGTGCTGTTACAGTTTGTGTTCATCAGTACCTGTGACAGTCAGAGTTGTACCAGGTAAACTACTCCTCCATTCAAAGCTTCCTGCTGTGAATTTGAAGTGATACTCAGCTGAGTCGCTCTCTCTCAGGTCAGTGATTCTCAGAGTGGAGCGTCCTCTCTCTGTTTCAAGGACCTGAACACGACCTGCATACTGGGAGTCTTCACTAAGGTCCTCAGGCTGTGAGGGATTCTGCCACTGAAGACTACGTTCAGGACTGAACCAGAATTTAGATCTGATAGTTTCATAACTGTTGTAAGTACAAGAAATGTCCACTGATGAGCCTTTGACAGCACAGATGCTTCTGTCAGTGTAAGTCACTCTGTTGCATGAATGACCATGGCCACCTGAAAATGAAATATTTTGATGATTATTAAAACTATAGTCTTTACTGCAGTAATTCACAGCTGGTTGTATTGCTGTGGATGAGTTTGCTTCTTTTAAAAGATACATGAAGTCATGATAAAGAACATCAGCTAAAATTTTCAAAACAGCGTCACATTATTAGAAGATTGTGGAGTGAACTCACACACTGATGGAGAAGGAAAATGTCCTTTAAGGGCACAGGAATAGCTGTCCTCAGGATAAAAGTAGTCTGAATAAGAAGATGCTTCCTTAATTTTCTGCCCATTCTTGTACCAGATGTAGGAGGTTTGATTACGTAGACTACAGCTGCTGAGACACTTAAGCTGTGACCATGTACACGTGAAAAACTTGCATGACTGTGAGCTGCTCACTTGCACCTGGAAACCTGTATCTGTAAAGAAACAACAATATAATTTTAGATTGAGCTTTCATTTTACACACATGATAAAAGGCATACAGAATTCACTGTAGTGTTTCCCAAATGTTGAGCATTTGGAGCTAACTTACATGGTTTCCAACAAAAATGTTACCTCTGAGAGACAAAGTGACTCCAGGTGAACCAGTAAATCTTCCACCTGGCTGGTTTGTTTTGAACCTGAACTTGTACTCAGCTGAGTCGCTCTCTCTCAGGTCTGTGATTCTCAGAGTGCAGATGTTGTTAGAACAACTGTACTGCAGACGACCTGCGTATCTTGAGTCTGTTCTCAGATCCACATGTTTTTTTTCTTGCAGTTTAGTAAACCATAATGTTTCCTCAATTTTAGTATCATGGCCATTTATTCTGGATGGGTATGTGAGGGTGCAGCTTATTTCCACTGTTGATCCTTTTAAGGCACAGATCTGAGTAGAGGTGTAAGTCACTCCCCAGCCATTCTGAGCCTGTATCACTGTAACACAGAGCACATCAGAAACTACAGTCAGACTCAACACCTGGAGACAGAAATGTTTGGAGATTGTTTCAGAAAGGTAACCATGACCAGCTTTAAAAAGCCCAGAATCTTATTTATTGCAGTCACTGTTACAAAGAGTTCTTCATGATACACCTTTTAAAAGCATGAGATCATTTTGAGTTAAATAGATGTTTTTCACAGCAGACATTTTGGCTGCTCATATCAGGAAAAGCACAGGGGGTGATTGATATTACACCTGTACAGAAGAGGAGTAGGACCACATGTGAAAAATGGGAGGGTCTTTCTTAGTCTGCATTCATGTCTCCTGTTCTTGTGTTCTTGTGCAACGTCATCTTTTGTGGCTTAAGTACTGTTCCTATCCACAAGTTCACATTTCGCCAAGAACGGTTCAAATTCCTCTTGGGTGACACACCCATTTTACCAAGCATGCATCGGTTGCGAGCCAGCCGGCCAGTCTGCTCCTGACCTTAAAGGCCATTCATAACCTCGCTCCTCGGTACGTCACTGACCTACTTCATATTAACACCCCCACCCGTACTTCTTCTGTTCACCTCACTGTACCTCCTGCTCGTTTGACTACCATGGGGCTCAGAGCCTTCAGACGCTCTGCCCCTCATCTCTGGAACTGTCTTCCACCAGACATCCGCAACATTGACTCACTTTCCATTTTTAAATCCCGCCTGAAAACACATCTTTTTAAACTGGCATATCCCAGGTGATCACTCTTTCTCAATCTTTGTTTCCAGTTGTTTTGTACCCTGATTTTATGCACTGTAATTTTAGTTGTTAATTTTATCGATTATTGCTGCATTGTTTTATTATGTTTTGTGAGGTGACCTTGAGTATTCAGAAATGCGCCTATAAATAAAATGTATTATTATTATTATTATTATTATTATTATTACAAGTATTAATTACATTGTTAGCAAACAGCTGTGGTTACCATACTTGATTTTTATTTGCTTTTACTTTATTATCTAATTATTGTTTATGCACTAATATACCAAAATAAATTCCTTGTAAATTAAAACCTACTTGGCAATAAACCCGGTTCTGAGCTTATTGTTTTGGTTGATAAAACCTGGCTGTTATCTTGGAGCTCTGCAGGCGGCCTCTGTGTGACGCAATAGCAGCAAGAACAGATTGTCTCAGATTGTCAGCAGCATTCTGTGTGCCTCTGACATTGCAAGTTTATT